TTGCCATTACTATCCTTCGCTTGATTTCTTCCGTTATGGCGTTCTCTTTGGTGATCAGGGAGCCTAAGTATGTGAATTTGTCAACCACTTCAAAGGTAGAGTTATCAACCGTGAAGTGGTGACCGATGTTCCTGGCTCTATTGTTGGGTGTTGATGCCATCATCTTAGTTTTCTCCTCAATAACTTGCATACCCATAGATTTTGAGGCATTTGAGAAGGTGGTATACATTTCTTCTAGCTTGCGTGTTGTGCGGGCAACTAGGTCCACATCATCTGCATATGCCAAAATTTGGGATGATTTATTAAAAATATTTCCTCTGTTGTCTATTCGGGCATCTCCAAGTGCCAGTGGTATGTTGAAAAGGAGACACGCCAGCGCGTCTCCCTGTCGCAGCCCAACATGCGTTCCAAACGCCTGCGATTGTTCGCCCTGTATTTCGACTTTGCAAACCACATTACGCATTGTAGCCTTAACAAATCTTATCAGTTTATCGAGGATGTGGAATTCATTCATTGCTTCATACAATTTATTTCTTAAGACACTATCATAGGCAGATTTGAAGTCTACAAAAAGATGGTATGTGTCGATATTGAATTCATTGGTTTTTTCCAGTATTTGCCTTAGCACAAAAATCTGATCTGTTGTTGATCGACCAGGCCTAAAGCCACTTTGATATTCACCGATTAGTTCCTCTAAATATGTACTTAGGCGACCAGATATGAAAATATTTTGTATGCTGTATTAAGGAGGGTTATTCCCCTATAGTTTCTACATTCCAATTGGTCACCCTTTTTGTGTAGCGGGCAAACGATTCCAATACACCACTCTTCCGGGATTTGTTCCTCATTCCAGGCTCTCAGTATTATAATTGGGAAATTGGGCAAATTGGGAAAATAATTAAAGAAAAATGGAAAAAAACCATATAAAATGCAGCGCGAAATCTTTAATAAGGTAAGGACTGGTTAAATATAGTGAAATTAAGGAACACAACTCAAGGAAGGGGAAAATCTTTAAAAAATTAAGGACTGCTTAGATATAGTAAAACATGGAAACGTTAGATTAAGAAGAAATTCAACAGACGTTTGAAATATAATTAAAAATAAGAAGTAAATATTCTTAGTTGATAGTTATTTTCTTTAAAATATAGCATTTGATATTATGTTGCCTACATGTGGAGGTGCAAATGGTTATAAAAAATATGTAGCAAATATATTTTGGAATTTTTTCTAATGTTTCTCTTAAATATAATTCAGTAGTTTCAGTACATATAAATATTTTTGTCTTGTGAACCATTTTTGTTACATTTGTTTAGAATATAAGTATTTTATTAAATTGCTTTTTCATTTTATTTATAATTCATTCTACCTTCTTTACCCACTGTTTCTACTGGAATGTGGTCTAACACCAAAAGGATATGAGATGTACCTATAGAAAAAGAAGGAGAGTATGAAAATGTTAGAAAAAAACGTATTTTGTAGTATAATATTTATAAAATATATCAGTGTGGTCCAACCTTTTAGACTTTGCGGGCCGTATTATATATATATATATATATATATATATATATATATATATATATATATATATAATATATATATATATATATATTAGTATAATGGTAAGGTTTATTGGGTTAGCAGCTGAATAATGAAAGCCAAAGTGTGCTCTTTTCAACGATCTCGTTAAATTTCTTTAACATCTTCAGACGAATGTTGCGTGAGGTTGCAGGCAAAAGTGGTATTTGAAAGTTCCATGTTGAAAAACTTTTTTGAAGATTTTTTATAGCAAAAAAAAAGGAATAAGTTGTATGTGTTATAAGGTGGCTTGAAAACTCAAACAATACAAGTGCATTTTTGTTTTTTTCCTCCAGTGTGCAAGTACAATACAAATATTAAAAAACGTTGAACATTTAAGAAACAAAACAGTTAAAACACAACTACATATCACATTGTCATTTTTTTGGCAGCTATGTTGGTGGAAGGTCTAGTCAACCAATGCACAAGGAGGTGGAAATCTCTCCTTGTGAGACTTTCAAATACCACTTTTGCCTGCAACCTCACACAACATTCGTCTGAAGATGTTAAAGAAATTTAACGAAATATAACAAGATCGTTGAAAAGAGTACACTTTGGCTTTCATTATTCAGCTGCTAACCCAATCAACCTTACCATTATACTAATTAATAATTGGACAGCTGTGATCATTCTTCGTTTATATATATATATATATATATATAATATATATATATATATATATAATATATATATATATATATATAAATATATATATAATATATATAATATATATATAAATATATATATATATATATATATATATATATATAAATATATATATATATATATATATATATATATATATATATATATATATATATATATATATATAAGGGCCAGAGAACTCGACTCGTTCAAAAAAAGTTTATTTTAAAAAATAATATACTGTAACGATAATATTTTGCCTACCAAAGGGTTCATTAATACAGGGGGTAGAAAATTGAGGGAAGAAACTATTGGGGGTGAAGATAGGCAAGCAAAATAATCGCTACTTGTGCGAACGGCACTCAGGGTTTGGTAGGAGAGCTGGGTTCGTAGATAAGTAAAAGATAAGGGGGGTCGATTGGGGCAACTACAAAAAATTAAATAAAGGGATCATTAATCTCTTGGGATAAACAAAATAAAAATAAACAGGAAACACCTCAAGGAATTTAATATAGGGCGCCACTTGAGGTGCCTAATTATACCTGTTACAACCACTAGTTGTAACTAGGGAAATAATTATAAAACATCAAAAAAATATCTTTTTCAAATAAAAATCAAAAAAGGGTTAGTTCAAAAAAAATAAATAAAATGTTAATAAAACAAAATTTAACATTTATTTTTGTGTTAACCACAAACAGTTACAACATGAAGAAATACAAGAATATAAAAAACTTACGTGCGTCATCCGCTTACAAACTCCAGGAGTTGGAGATACTACATAAAACTTACAAATGTTACCGCATTACAATTTTTAAATGTTACAATTTCTAAATTTTAACGAAAGCAATTATTGTTCTAAAAAAATATTTGTCTTTACTTTGAAATTAAACAAACAATAAACAGTTACCTGGAGTCACATATTTCCACTTAACAAAAAGAAAAATAACTTGTTACATCTCTGGATTGGAGCTGCTAGGACGAAACTCTGGAACAAGGGGAAACCAATTCCATACTGAAACGAAGATCTGACGTAGACGGGGTTGGATTAAGCAGGCAAACGACCAAAAAAAGCTGATGGGACATCCTATATATGTCTTCAAAATTGTACCATGCTCTGGTACACCACACAAATTATTTTTTCTACTGCCACATATTTCCACTAATAGGGCCAAAACAGAAGAACACAAATTCGGATCCATAAATGAGCCTAACGAACTGCTCGGGGACCCAAGCATGAATTAAGATCCATACCTAACACTACGACGACCCAAGTATGAATGGCGAATTTAAAAATTCGTTCATATAAATTGAAAACAAAACAAAACATAACGAAATTAAAACGTAAAAGATTCCACTTCTACAACGTATAAAAATTATAATGCGACTTCGAATAAAACATTAAAAGAAATTGCCGAAAAAGTTAAAATAATAAACAACTCTAAAATGGTTTATTTTAACATCTAGCAATGCAAATACAATTATTGAAAACATTTTTGCGTATTTTAACTTGAAAGATACGAACTAACAAACACGGAAAAAATTCTTCGTTTTATTTTTTAAACATATATAAGGAGATTTCAATATATTTCATATACAAGGGGATTTCAGTATACTTCAAAGAATCAATGAAATTGAAAATGCTACAATACAAACGAAACATTATTTACAAGTATTTTATTATGGTTTACAATTTACATGTTATCTATAAAATTTAACGTAAAAAAAATCAACAGGATATTTGAGACAAGGGTTTATTCACTACTAACTTTTGGACATCTATATCTATGCTAGTCGTAGTGAGTCAAATACACGTTTCCAGAGAATCGTTTTCCATGCGATTACGTGTTTTAGATTTAATATGCTTCAAAGCAGAAAATTTACTTTCAAATATATGTGTACTATAATATTTCTCTTTGTATATTGAGCGGCCGTTAAGGGTTTAATACTATATAAAGAATAAACTGGCCTTAAATTTACTTTACTTACCTCAAAACTATTTTAAAGTTAATAATAAAGTATATTTAATAAATATATTCCCAATAATACACTACGCCTATGCACATATGTATAAAATCTGAAAGATATCATATTTCATAAACTTCAATAAACTAAGATATCATATTTCTCTAATTAACATTCTTTCTAAAAACGTAAATATATATAGACCAGCAAAATATTGATAATTTTACCGATGTTCCAAACTATTCTATGAACTTGTCTCACTATACACTCGTGAATCATAATAATCATAATATTATGATATACATATATAATGATAAATGAAATGAAAAATACATATATAATTAATAAAAAAATTCCTGTGCCAATTCTATCTCCAGTTTGTAAGGCAGAAGACGAATGGAGGTAGAAAGTATCTTGCGTCTTGAACCTATCTTGAAGACGACTTTCATCCAGTAAGCCATTAAATGAAGTAATTCCAAATTGACAATAATTGTAGTTAACAAGTTTTTATATATCTTCTGCATTTTATATCAATCCTAAAGGATTATAATAAGGATTTAAAAAGGAAAAATGAAATTTACTAATAATAAACAAAGAAAATAACATTTATTGAATAAAAAGCACTGACGGGATTTATTACAACTATGTTTGCTGTTGGAGAACTTAATAACATTAAAAAAAAAACAAATAAATCTTTTATTGACATATTTATCCGAAAAAAATAAGATTGTAGCTGCTATTTAGAGTACATAATCAATAAATTTTATAAATCTGTTACACATTCGATACAGCTATACACCTATAATAAATTATTAATCTTAGGGGGAGGAAGCACACTTTTCCATATAATACATGTCTCCTAGTAACTGCGTAATAGGAATCTCTCCTATTGTTTCTTTAAAGAAAAGTAATTCTACAGTGATTGACCGAATCGCTCTTAAACTCGGGACTAGGAGTAGCAGTCGACCAAATCGTGTTGGTTGCCTGGGATATCTGGTTCTGACGTAATCTCCAAGGATGCATTGAGCTTGATCTTGAAGCATTTCTACAGGTTGAACATCACATAGTCCGGCAGTTTCTAAAACAAAACTGTTGCTATTAGCTTCATACATTATAGAGTATTAAAGCATTGTAAGGATACAGTTTCAATTATTGTCGCAGGGGCTATAACGTTCCTATAACATTATCTCTCAAACTTATTAAATATAATGAAAAGTAAACTAAGAACGAGTATATACATGGAGGTACATGCGATATTTTTTATAATATTAGTAATACCAAGTTAATAATATCTTAGAGAGAGGAATAGAGTAAAATGAAAGGATAAAACTCTGAAGAAAGAGCTGGTGCGAGAAATAAATGACTAAAAAAGGGAAATGCTGGAAAGAACTATGCAGAAACCTCGAAAAAGATATCTGAAGAGACGTCTACCGAATAGTGGTCAAGAACTTTAAATAATAGCTTCTATAAGATCGAGAATAGCTAAGAAAAAAAACTGGGCGAAGATTTTTTGTCATAGAAGGAAAATTAAGGTGGAGATATCCGTGACTGAATTTACAACGGAAGAAGTGACAGGTAGGTAGAATGCTTTAAGCTGAAAAAGCAACTAAATCGGATAAGGTAGCACTGGAGATAATTAAAATTATACTTGAGGACAGGGTGACATAGGTACAAGACATTATGAACAACTTACTAAGATGGCAGGAGTTCCTAAGAGATCTGAAGATGGCAAATCGATTGAGGGAAGGAATTAGAAGAGCTCGAGGCATAAAGACTTGTTTCCTTACCACCTTGGGTAAGAACTTTAAGATCATAAAGATAAGAGCAAATGGATAACGACTTTTATCCTAGATATAAGAAACGCTTTTAATAATGCTAGCTAGCAAATTATCATCAGATTTCTGGGAGACGTATATAGATCTCCCTATCTGCAGAACTTAGTGAGTGATTACTTCACAGACAGATTGCGAGGAACATTGCTAGAGACAATACTTTGGAACTTTCTATACACTGAGATTTTAGGGACCGACCGGATAATGGTCTACAGACAATAGCATATGCAGGCAACCTATTGGTGATGGTGGAAGTTAACAAAATCTATTCAATCATGCGTAAAGATACCGCGCCCTTCCACCAAAGTGAAGACGTGGATGGAAAGCGGAGACCTTATGCTAGCTTCTGAGAAAACCGAGGCTATGATCTTCAAGGGTCCTATTGCCAAAAATTATGTTTTTTGCTCTGGAGGAAGACAGAGAACCTACCAAAAATTTGAAGTACCTGAGAGTAGTCCTAATACGTAGCAAAGATATCTTTGGCACTAATCATGCTAGCACGCACATACAGGACAACAAGAAAAATGGCCATACAAGTGATCGCATGTGTGTAATCAATCCACCTGCTATAAAGGAAAGGGTAGAAACCTAAGGGAATGATAAGCAAAAAAAGATAATAGCTAGGAACAGGAGCATAAGAAAATGGCAGAAATAATGGACAAATGAGTATATTGGAAAAGACTGAGGATAACAATTGCATGGATTTTGCAATGACGTATTGCAGAGGTTCTGCAATGGCCGAGAATTACGTATTCAAGAGCAAAAGGACAGAAATGAATTACAGGAGAACTTAGAGTAAGGAAAAATACCATAATACGGGTTGTATTAAGAGCATACACTAAATATAAGGCAATATTGAAGGCAGTAACACAAGTAGCCAGAAAGAATGAATTTTAGAGAAGTAGAAGCAGTAAAAATAAAAGAGAGAACGATGTTTAGGCTGAACGGCTAGGTGGACTTTTGTTGGTAAACAGGGAGACTTCTTTGAAAGGACCTGAATCTAACATACGCCGAACCATCTCTAACGAAATACATATGGCGTTATTTACCGCCTCCTCAAGCAAAAAAGAAGGTATGTACGAGTTAATAATATATGGAAGATCCGGGAGCCTTTAATCACTACAGAACATATCCTCAACAAACAGATAGATGAATGATTTAATCCTCACCAGTTGAAGCCTAGACAAACTGACGGGTATTTGGAAAATATCATCCATAGACCAAAGAGGTGAGAAAACTGGGATCTCGAAGATATGAAGAAAATAACTCATACCGGTACAACTCCTCAATACTCGAAAAAAAAGTGAAGTAAGACCAAAATTGAATACCTACTCGATTAACGAGAAAATAAAAGAATACATAAAAATAATATACACATATATGATGGTTTAACTCATCCTAAGTTGTGATGCGGTCAGTACAGGCAACCGGTTTACCTCTAAAAAGACGCTTAGAAACGGAATATACACACGAAACCTTTTATTCGATTCTATATATTTTTTCAAGTTCAAGTATCTATTTTTTTCAATTTTTTCAAGTGGGTCGAAAATTGTAATTAACAAATAACTTATAACAAAAAAATAATAATGCTGCCTTAGAAATAAGAAAAAAATTTGTCGGTTTATGCTCTGCTTATAGTGGTAAACCTCATACTCATTATTACATCTATGATAGAATTCTGAATTTTAAATTTAAACTTTGATATAACATTACCTGGTGTAAAAAGTAAGATGGCTTTCATACATCCACATTCACTGCCATCTGGGGATATTTGACGAAAACGACACATTATTTCCTAAAAATATCAATATTAACATAATTTTTCGTAGATAATTACAAATAATCAATAAATATTAAGTAACTACATAAATTAAACGTGAAGTAAGATATAATTAGAGCGAACACTTCTCCGCTCCTACTTTAAATATGTCTTTAAGTACGAAGGCTCATAAACATCCCCTATTTTTGAACAATAGAAGCAAATCGATTATTTTTTCTATTTCCTCTGTTGTGAGTTTTCCGCCTAAACCCAGTTTAAACTAAATCGTTCTTAAAATACACATTAAACATTGTATTTTGTTTTGTTACTTTGGTAATACCAAAATAAGAAATATTATCTTCTAATAATTTAATTTTATCATATTAGCATCAAACTCTAATTTTATATGTGGATGTTGTTATGGTGTTGATGCAACATGTTAAGCCACCGCCATAAGGTTTTGAGAAAATGAACAAAATAGTTTGATAAAAGATTTTAATTGTTTGGTACAAGATTTAAAAGCGAAATTTAGGATTTAAGGTACTATTACCGTCTAGAATTTTTAAAAAATTAATTTTTATACTTCTTTCAACTTCAAAAATAACGCTCTAAAATATTATACAGAAATTCGAAGCTAATCTCGAAATTTAAAGCTAAACTCGAGATATCACGTATTTACAATTTTTAAAAATTGGCGAAGCTATAGCTAATGGATTGACCTTGACCTATTGACCTATTGACCTTGTAAATAACAGGTAAACTAAACAGGTCAAAATCCATTACCTTTACATTATGTATAGAAACCGGAACATAATGTAGCTTCGCTTATTTTTAAAATTTTTTAAGTGTTTGTTCTTGTGTAGTGTAGTGTGATGTTTAATTTTATGTTTATAACGTTTTATTCTTGTTGGATAGGCCGCAATTGACGAAATGCCCCTGAAGATGCTCTAGAGAGCGAAAGTACTTGGGCAAGATTAAATTAATAAAAGTGTGCTCCATATCTGCCTTTTATTTGATTCAAAAATTCTTTTAAAAGATTCTTTTATTAGTTGTACACAGATCGTACTCAGTGGCGGCGCTACTGAGTACTTACGCTTACAAATATCATAATTTTATGTGAGCAAGATACATTTTGCGAGGCTCTTTGCCTGCGCATAAAGATAAATTTTTTAAAAGTCATTTCATTATTAACCTTTTATTCATGCAAAATCTAGTCAAACTTGGATGCTATATCGGCCTCTATAGACAAAATTGCGACCGCAAAAAGTTTTTCCTGTGACTCGTACTCCTTAAATAATTATTAACGTTTTACGAGTTTGAATTTTAAGAAGCTCCTTTCAGCGGAGGCTGTACTAAATGGTATTGTTAATAATATTCTTATGACGATGCAAATGTTTGGGAATATTTCTATTAATGGTATTAATATCTCAGTTATTATCTGTAATGTATTGAAGCAAGTGTTTCACGTCTGATATAAACTTAGTTAAATTAAGGATTTGTTGTATTCCAGCTATGACAACTGCAAGGTATGAAAAATGCCCTAGGATTTATATTTAATATTCGAATTTTGACTCCACTGTTTATGCCTACCGTATTTACGCCATAGTCGTATCCGTGACCACGGCAGTTTTAAATATTTAAGCCATTATTTTCTAGTTCGCCTAGTACGGCATTACTTAAATACTTTCCTCTTGTCTCACTTTACAACAAGAAATCCAATCTTCTATTGTGCCCGTTGATGTACTACAAAATTTTAAGATCACATACATTTGTTTAGTGCAGTCATGCAAAAAAGAATAATATTTTGCCTTTTTTAATTTGCGTATCACTTCACCAGTTTACCGCTTTTGACATCAGTGTGGCCAATTAATTTTATATATCGTGACTTAAATAATGATCCGTAAGTTGTTTGTCAGTAATACGTCTCATTATAAAGATGAGGTTGCCACATCATCGTTTTTTTAGGCAATCTTTCGTCCCCCATTCGGCTCACATGCCCATACCATATGAGCTGTTTTCTCTCAATATCCTCAACTATAGTGCCCTCTATACCCATTTGTTGTTTTATCACTTCATTCCGTATTCTGTCGGCTCTTGATATTCTCATTGATCTTCTGATGGCATCCATTTTCGTGGCTTCGACCTTTTTCTTATATTTCTGGGTTATTCTCTATGTCTCAGCTCCATAAAGTAGGCTAGTTTTAACCACTGTCTCATAGATGTTCCATTTTCTTTTCTTTTTTATTTCTTTACTCCATAGAACTCCGTTTAAACGTGCTATAGCTCTTCGTGCTTGTACAATTCGATGTTCTATTTCTCGTTCGTCTTTTCCACTACGATCGAAGATGACGCCCAGGTATTTATCTTCGTCACATGGATTTATTTCTTGATTGTCATCGATATCGAGTTGTTCTACTTCAGCTCCAATTGAGAGGTATTTTGTCTTTTCTAAATTAATATTTAATCCCCATTTCTGCTATTCTTCAATTTGTTTTCTAAGCACAGAATAGTTAAAAAGAGCAGAATACTTTATTTTGAGAATTATAATGAACTAACCAGCAACGATTTTGAATTTCACCATTATTTAATTTTCTAGAGAAATGAAAATTAGTGCCTACGGTCGTCGTCTTTGAGATAATTTTCATCGCCAATATTTAATTGTTGTGAGGGGCCGTTCTGAACTATATCATGACGCTGAATATCTAATATGGGCATCGACCACATTCCTGGATTAAAATTATCAAATACTTGTATAATTTCATCACTCGTATCGCTATTTGGTAGATAACAATTTTTTTTTCTGTGATCTAGAATATTGCTCTCGGGAAACAGGAATTTCATCGTTGGAATCTGATTCCTTAGATACTGTTTTTGTATCAATTTCAGACTGTCGTTCGGTGTCAGTATTTAGATGTTCGTCATCAATACTTCCCAAATTCATAGGAATATCAATCGTGACTGAATGTTTTTTAGAAGTCGACGCTATGGATTCAGATGGTTCTGTACTACCAGATACAGTTGGATTAAGAAACTTCATCATACCTGTACTTATCGACTGGTTTAATATCGCTCTTTCAGCTTTTCTTTTTCGTTTTGCTGATCCGGATTCCCATTTTCTCCCAGCATCCCTTTCTCTCTTAGGGCTCAGCGGTGACGTACATTGCACCGAGGATTTCTCGCGAGCGATAGTGACGCAAGTAATTTTTTCGGTGCGTTTACCACTTTTGTTTGTGGATAGGCATGTTGGTCCGTTGAATATCGGTCGGTAACACAGCTCGTGTCTGAAAATTTTGAAAGCGCGAGAGCGTGGGTGCACTCTGGATATTAGTAGGCTTGTTACCAGTTTTTGTTTTCGTTACTTACTCGTTAGTACCTATTAGGTTTAAGTAATACATAAATCTCCATGGCGCGAGGCCCCTCGGACCGCGAGGCCGTGGGTTGTGACCCACGCCCTATACCTCCTCTGATCGTACTAAACAGATAAAATGAAATTATAAGAAATTTTTTTTGTATTACCTAGTAACAAAATATAATATTTTGTTTAAGGAAATCGAAACGTCAAAACAAACGTATTTTCAACTAAAATTGTGGTTAATTTCTATTAAAGAAAACATTAAAAGGCCACAGAAAGAAAGTTTAAGAAAATACTGTAATTAAATATTACACTATACCTGTATTGTTTTGATTTCGGTGGCAGTATGCAAATCTGCTGGCAGTCTTTCCCTCGCCTGTGGACATCCCAACAAGGTTGATAAATCCCAAGGAACCGACCATTGAGCGAGGTGTAATAAAAATAATTCTTTCCAGGATTCTTGTAAAAGTAAGAGTTGATCGTGTTTGCTCAGTGTCTGAAACGGAGTTAAACATCTAACCCATCGTACGGCCATGAAGAGTAATCTAGCTGTAGTTTCCTGTATAATTAAACAATTTTTTATTAAATGGAATATATTTTTTTTATTTAAAATGCAAGTAATTCTTGTTAGTTAGATTAAAATAAAATACTCGTTAACATATGTGCAAAATAATGATCCTAGAAAGTCTATTTTTATTTACTGTCAAAATCAATACAAATTACTTTTACAACAAGAAAATCTACACGTTTACAAGTTTCTATTAATAATATTTCCATTACCCTAAAACCAGTTGTCGTATACTTGGGATTTCATCTGGATAAAAACTGATATGGAAAACGTACATTAAAACTAAATGAAAACAACTAGATCTTAAACTAAAAAATATGAACTGACTATTTAGCAATACACTCATACTAGTTTGGACATATGGAATAGAACTATGGGGCTGTAGTAAACCTTTAAATACGAAGTTACTTCAAACATTCCAATCCAAAATGCAAAATGCAATGTATGATAAGTGAAGCTCCATGGTATGTATCTAAGAAAACACTTCGCAATGATCTGGACATACCACTACTTAAGCACATAATAAAGAATCACTCAATAAAAATCGCACCACTGTACCCCAACGAACTGATAAATAATTTATTCACCCAACCATTTGCCGAAAGTAGATTGAAGAGAGTATGGCCAGAAGATCTACCGCAATAATACTTAGAGAACCGTCACTGAACGGTATCTAACTCACGTTAATTTACTTACAGACTATTTACTTATTTCTCTATGTATAGAGTAGATTGTAAACATGCAATGTTACAATAAAAAAAAATATTACATAAAATATTCAATTTTATAATTTTATATATTAATGTATAATATAAAACAAATGTTTTGAAATATTTATCAATAAAAAAATCCGAACACCCAAAATATATTGATATTACTGTTACATTAGAAATATACATTTGCATTTAAAATTACGAAATATTTTCTATGTACCATTTTTCTTAGTGTATTATATTTTTACTCCACTACAGTACGAATAGACGGGTTTGAAAATGCAAGACAGAACGACAGAAGTGAATAGAAATGAAAAGAGGTGTGGACTGAAATCTACCAGTGTTATTCGCGATGACTTTTCGACTGAAAGACAGCCACGAGTGGAGGAAAAGCTAAAATGAAATAACTCCTCTGACTTTTCCGACCACGCCTCCGAATATTTCACTCCCACAATTACCTAAATTTTGACGAGAAATAATACTTGACGAGATGTTTTTCAAATGGTTTTACAATAATGGTTGATCAACTCAATAAAATATAATTGTATTGATTCTATTTTGTAACTTCAGATAAATTTAAATAAACTGTTTTTCTAATATAATTTATTATTTTGTCGTATTAAAGTCTAATCGTCGAAAGTAAAAAAAGGCAGAAGCAATTACAATAGGAAAGAACAGAATAACAACACTTAGTAGATAATAACAACAAGTATCCAGGAAAATTGAATGATGTATTTCTCATTTACTTACTATAATAATTTTCTATGCAAACACTCCTTCAACGATGTTGCGAGGTAAGAAAACCCGTATATATGTGCTTCATTGATTTTGAAAAGGCATTTGATCGCGTTCAGCATACCAGAGTAATTACCGCCTTGCAGAGCATCCAACTAGATGAGAAAGATATCAAACTTATTGCCAAACTTTACTGGAACTAAACAGCCATTATTAATACCAACAACAGAGAATCAAAGCCAATCAGTATTGAACGAGGCGTAAGACAAGGCTGTATACTATCTCCCACCCTCTTTAACGTGTATTCTGAGAATCTATTTAGGGAAGCTTTAAAAGATCAAAAAGGAATTATCATAGGAGGCGAAATAATTAACAATATACGGTACGCCGAGGATACTGTGATTCTAGCTGAAAACATCGACGATCTGCAGGAGCTAATCAATAGAGTTGACATGGAATGCACAAATTGGGGACTGTCGATAAATATTGATAAAGCTAAATACATGGTGACCAGTAAAGTGGATATCGGCGCAACCCAACTGATATTAAACCAACAACCGCTGCAGAGAGTTCAGAGATTCAAATACCTTGGATGTTGGATTACCAAAAATCTAGATCCATCCTTCGAAATTCGATATAGAATTGAACAGGCAAGAAACTCATTTCAAAAATTCAAGCCTCTATTATCCAATAACTCATTAAATTTGGAAATCCGTGAAAAGTTTACAAGATGTTACGTGTGGTCTGTACTTTTGTATGGATGTGAAACTTGGACTTTAAACGCCGATATCATGAATAAAATCGAGGCGTTTGAGATGTGGTTGTATCAAAGGATACTAAAAATTCCATGGACTAGCAGAATCAAAAACGAAGAAGTTCTTCGAAAAATGGGACATCAACGAACTCTATTAAATATTATTAAGAGGCGTAAACTAGAATATCTTGGACATATAATGTGAGGGCCAAGATATGAGTTCCTTCGGCTAATTCTCAACGGTAAAATCGAAGGAAAGAAATGGATAGGACGGAAGAAACTCCCTTGGTTGAGGAATTTGCGGCAGTGGACAGGTTTGACAGCGGACCAATTGCTACACGTAGCGCAAGACCGAGATCAGTATAACAATATTATAAGCATGGTAGTCGCCGACGTTCCGTAGGGATATGGCACTCTAAGAAGAAGAAGATAATAATTACCTAATATACAATTGTTTCTTGCAGAACTAACACTTTTTAGTTCTGCGATGGAAGTCGAACCATGTCAGTATTAGGTTTTCGTGCAATACTGACGCTTTTGAGTTCTGCTGCTATAGCAGTGAATTTTAGATATTTTCAAACTGTATCAGTGAGAATTTTGGAGTTGTGTCACATTAAATAAAAGGAATAATTTTATTGTTTTAAAAATGTCAGATCCGTACCGTTATCAGAAAAGAAGGGAATTAATCGTATCTCGAGCAGGAGTAACGTAAGTAATAACACCAATATTATTTTAATGTAATAAGCACAATGACTTCGTTGGTTCAAGTTAAAAAACTCTATAGGTAAGTGGTCAATGAAAAGTAGAGCTCCTTTTGCATAATGAAAATGTCTCTAACAATGAGAAGCGCGATGATCCATCCAATATGGAGAATGTTACCCCTGAATGCACATAGTGCATCGATGCAGTGGAACAAATAGGTACGAAATTGCTCTTTTTATAATACACAAGATTGATTTGTTTTTTTATAAGCTATCTGCCAATTTACTAAGTAGGTACCTGACAAGCTGATTTCTTCTTAATACTTGTCTTTTTTTTCTTGTTTTAGGTCTTCTTCTTCAAGTTCCGCTCCTATCGGAGATTGGAAATCATTCTGACAATTATAATTTTGTTGGTTCCGCGCCTGAATAGTTCAATTGAACTGCATCCAAACCATTCACGGAGATTGCGTAGCCACGAGATTTTACGTCTTCCTATGCTTCTTCTGCCTGTAATTTTACCCTGCATTATATTCCTTAGTAGTTTGTATTTTTCACCTCTCATGTTGTGCCCCAAGTATTACAATTTCCTGATTTTTATGGAATTTAAAACTTCGGATTGTTTTCCTAGTTGTTCGAGAACTTGTTCGTTTGTTTTGCGATCCATCCATGATATTTTCAAAATACGTCGGTAACTTCAACTTCATAAAAAAGGGCAGAGAAAATATAACATCAAAGCATTCTTATACGGAGCGATATATTGATATCGCGATTACAAAAAAGTTTTCTCATTCTATTAAAAGTTGACCGTGCAATTTCAATGCGGCATTTGATTTCTTTTGTCTGATCAGTATCTTCTGTGATCCATGCTCCAAGGTATTTGTACGAAGATATTTGTTCAATTTCTGTATTATCTAGTACTAACTTTTATGTTTTGTGCTTTCGTAAATACCATGAGCTTGGTTTTCTTCAAATTTATTTTTAGTTCATAATCGTTGCAATATATACTTAATTGTTCAGCAAGGTGTTGCAATTCTTCTAGTGTTCCTGCCAGAAAGACGGTGTCGTGGGCATATCTTGCTCTCACTGACCTCGACACGCGCTAATTCTGAGATGGCTTCACTGTATAAATTGAATAACAAGGGTGATAAAATACACCCTTGACGGACCCCACGGCGAATCTGGATATCCTCGGTCAGTTCATTTTCAACTTTCACTTTTGCTGTTTGGTTCCAATAGAGGTTACATATGATTCTAATGTCTCTACTTTCTATGTTTTTATTTAATAAAATTTCTTTAAGCCGATTATGCTGCAGTCTGTCAAATGCCTTCTCAAAATCAGTGAAACAGGCATATACTTCCTGATTTATATCTAAGCATCTCTACGAAAGAACACTCACTGCAAACAGGGCATCTCGTGTTCCCAGTCCTTTCCTAAATCCCATTTGTGTATTACTTATGCCTTCATCTAATTTCTTATGTATTCTATTGTGAATTACTTTTAAAAACAATTTCAAGACATGACTCATTAAGGCTATGGTGCGATGTTCATTGTACTCCTTTGCATAGCGTCTTTAGCTTGTTTAATTGCATATTCAATTTCTTCTCCTACAATGTCAAGCCCAGTATCATCCTTAAATTCTTTTGGTGCTTCTGTTCTCTCTTTGTCTTCAAAAAGGTGTGCTATATATTGTGTCCATCTCTGCATTTTTTTGGTTTATATTTGCTATAAGTACACCACATTCATCTCTTAGTTGCCTAGTTTGCAGTGTTTTTCTCATTCCTGTTAATTCTCTAATTCTATTATGCATGTTAAAAAAGTCATATTTTTTCTCAATTTCTTTTAGTTCTTGGCACTGCTCATGTAACATTATCTCCTTAGCTTCTTTTATTCTCCTTTTAATTAATCGATCAGTTTCATTAGATTTAATTGGATTTTTTGTTTTAAATGATTTTCTGTTATTCATTAATAGTAGTATTTCTTCAATCGTCCAGTCTTTATGTTTTCCTTTCTTTGGTTTAAAGTTTTCATTTGCTCTTTTAATTATTGCTACTTTTATATTTTCCCATTTCTGATCAATGTTATAGCTACTTTTATTCAGTTCTTGGGCATTACGTAGATTTTCAATAAGAGTTTTTACAGTTTGTTCCTTTGTTTGTGGTTCCCTTAATTTCTTAATATCAATTCTACTTTGTGTGGGTTTTTTAACCAGTTTCAATTTGGTTCGTAATGTGACTACTATGGGGTTATGCTCTGAACCGATGTCTGCTCCAGAGTAAGTTTTGGCAGACAGTATAGAATTACGAAGTCTTTGTCTAATGAGGACAAAGTCAATTTGATTTCGGATTATTCTATTCGTTGTTCTAGGTTGTTCGTTGTTTTAGGTAGCAGTTCTAAATTTCGTACGCACCTCTTCTGGAAGTTGATTTAGCTCCCAATCTTCTAATGATGATTCTCATGCAGACCCTCATGTGAATGCTGATGATGATCATAATGTATCGTTTACAATTACAGAGATCCCTGATGAAAACGTGGAGACTGAAGTACTAGAAGACGTGTCGATTATTCTAACAGTAGGAAAAGGAAGGGTTGTTCGCATCAATGGAGTGTAACTCATTTCAAAATTTCTTCTAAATCTCATCGCTATTTAGTTGAACGGCCATACTCCAAATGAGGGACAGCCGCCACTCTTTAATCGAAAGAAATATCACGAAAGCTTTAAAAGGAGAACCTATTTATCTCCCGACTGATTAGCTACGCTAATCCGAACTGCTCGTTGCAAACAACCATTCGAAGTACACGAATTATGTCATAATGATTTTTTTGACTTGAAAAAGTTAAATACTAAAACAGCGACAATTTTCAATAAACATGTCCAGGGAAATACTTTTTTCATTTCAACGATATTTGTAAAACTCATGTAAAAAAAGCTCTGGTAGGTACTCACTATTATTTTAAAACTTCATTTACACAAGAGAAGACAGATCAGTTAATACCACCAAGAAAAAAACAAGAAAATGTTTAGAAAGCATGGGTATTATAGAACTAGAAAAGGGTTACACTAGCAGCCTACCAACAACTGAAAAAAAGGTCTTATTAGCTCTATTGAAGACAAGAGTGTCCCACCAATTCACGGTGATTTCTACAGACATTTTTTAAATCATTGTTAATAATAACTTGTCCTATTATTATCAATATAAAGTTTTGATTAGATTTTCCTTATAGTTGTTAATAAACACATTTTTTCAAGTAACTCGAGGTATTTTTTATTGACCATTATATCAATTAACCATTATTTCAATTGATGGGATTTCTTTAAATAAAATTTTTGTTTTATGGCATACAGCTTCGTGGAAATACAATAATTACTTAAATCTCAGTATACTTTTACACTACTATTAAATCAATTATTTGGTATTATCGCCCTTATTTATTATCTAATATATTTTTTTTAATCGTATTTGAAATAATTTTAAATAAATTTTAATTAAAACAGATGGCATGAAATTAAAAAAGAAACGAACCTGCAACATTTCCCACGTTGGCGTGAGGGGTAATGGTGCTAAGGGTGGACTTGTGGCTAGAGGTAAGCCTGTAGGGCTCGGCATTATTCCTGGATCACTTGTTGGCGATTCTAGCTGGGATAGTTTAGTGCCCCACACCAATTCCTATTCACATCAACACAACGTTAGAGCTTGTGTTACATTTACATAAACAAATACGAGTATATCAATTAATACGATTATAGTGGCTATATTTTGTTTGACTTTATTTTTTTTGTGAATTTAATGATATAGTTATCATACATGAAGAAAAAGATTAGTCAGCCTGTAATGGTATTTTTGCTTTTTGTTTTTGGTGATAACAAAATTAAATTCTTTTAAAAATTATCAAACACAAACTTTCTTAAAATAATCCTTTTAACACTTGCTTGCTTGAAATCCTTCGTCATTGGTTTACATTTAATCCTCAATAGGTATAGTTATAGCTGGTTTCAAATGCAGTGGTGAGGAGTTCTACGAAATATTTCATCGCGAAGGCAATAGGGCAGTCATGCAGTGGCGTTGCAATAATAAACAATTTGAAAAGAATATCATACATGGGGGGAGAATAATAATGGTCCAACTCCATATTTTTTAAAATTCTCATTTTGTGTACAGAAGGCTTCGCTTTATGAGTATCTTTCAGAATAAAATTGGCCCAACTAATAATTATATCTACTGAAGCAGAGATGGCACCACTTGTATCGAAGCAGTCATACAAAATCAAAATATTTCAGTTTAAAAGTGGTCTAAGTTTAAGTGTCAGTGTAATACCGGTACAAATCCGGAGTTGGACCATTATCACTCTGAATCATGGACGTATAAACACAGATGGACTCAGTTATTTACACAAAATTGTGAAGTCAAAATTATTTGAATAGGTCACATTCTCAACACCTTCAACTGTTGTCACGTTTTTTTATTAAAATTTCTTATTCGCGAGTCGCTGAAAATATTACTCCGTATTTTATACTCTACAGGTGCTATCAAACCAAAATAATAATTTATTGGTTATATTAATATATTTAATTGTAATCAAAATATCAAATGTGCACATAGTGTGCATTATCATTTAATAATAGCGTATAATAGATATCAATCAATTATTTTATATGTAGAAGCACTGAAAACTATTTATAAATGGCAACGGTTGTTTACATTTATCTGTCTTATGGCTCTACGTCAAACTTCAAATGCTGTGCTGTTCCATGTTTACAGAAACTAAGAGAACAATAATATTTGAGGAGTTTTGGAAACTTGGAAATTATGTTCAACAGAATCTATATCTCTATGGGCTGGTAAAATCGAGTGCTCTAAACCGTAGACGTCCAAAAGATGGCTCTGGTGTTAACAGACAGCAAGTATTTCACTACTTATTAAAATATGATACGAAAACACAGCAGGTGTGCAAGAAATACTTCCTTGCTACGTTTAAAATAAGTAACGGACGCCTATATAGATGCATATCTAAAACTGTAGCATCTGAATGTAAAGGCGTGGTGTATCAAGTTCAAGACAACTAGATGACTCAGACATCGTAAAACACATCGGTATGTTTCCTGCATATCAGAGTCACTATTCGAGATTGAAAAACCCTCATCAAAATATTAAATCTTACAGTAAAAAAGATGTACGATCTCTGTTAAGTATTTGAATATTGTTATTTTTACAACCGGCAACGCTGGCAACATTGGTTCTGCTTCTGCCCACAGCAGCCGCTATTTATGACAGCCGACGACTCGCAGAAAGAAAAAGAAGAAGAAAAAAGACTCTAATCTAACCTAATTCACATCACCACGCCACGCATACTACATATTCTTTTGAATCTTTTGTTCAGTTTTGTCGTTACATTATAATAAATAAATTTAGTAAAGTGTAGTTATTCATTCCAAAATTAATAGGCCTTAGGTGGCACAAAACATAATCTGGTCCTTCAAGAAGCCGAATAAACAGCAGTAAACACGATTTATGGTTCAACACGAGACACGAGGTCAAATCTAATGGCACCGCTAATTAAAGTAAGTGCGTAATCCTATCTCATATATATCCTAAAAACTTGAAAACAGACTCTTTTGTGGTTGAATGGGTTGTCGCTTATCGTTTTGTTGAAATTTAATACTTTTATGCTTATACACGATAATACTATTTAACTAAATACATGCTTTAAGGGATATGGGATTTATTTAAAATAAAAACTTATTTTTAAAGTCTTTACATTTTCAATACTACACATTTTATAGTACAGGAAAATTTGGAATCTTATATTAAATACTTAGAATACTTACTTATTTGGAATTTTTATTATTCTCTTTTGGTAACAATTGAATATTCGTTTATTAATTTGTTTTACTAAAAATTTAGTTGTTTTATAATGGCAGAAAACATATCGCTAGAATCTTTGAAAAATACTAGAAAAGGTTTAAAAAGTTCATTAACTAGGTTCGAAAATTACATTAAAACAAAGATAGATAATCAAAGCTCTCCTGACTTGACTGATTTAGAATCTCGCTTCGAAAATATATCAACGCTACTTGAAAGATTTGATGATATGCAATCAATGATTGAAGCCTTGACTAGCAAGGATGAATTTATTGTAGACAATGATGAAAGAGCTGCATTTGAGGACTCATTTTACACTATTACAAGTAAAGCTAAAAAACTTCTTTCACACACTTCTAAGATCTCAAATCCGCAGGCTCCTCAGTCAGCTCAACCTTTTAGCTACATAAAGCTTCCAGATATCAATCTTCCATCATTCTCCGGGCCCTATAAAGATTGGATTTTCTTCAAAGAAACCTTTATTTCTGTAATTGATCAACATCCTCATATGCCACAATCACAAAAGCTAAACTACCTCAGAATGTCATTAAAAGGCGAACCTCTTCATTTAATTGATACTCTTGAAATATCTGATGCAAACTATGAAGTCGCTTGGACCATATTAAATGACAAATATGAGAATATCGAAAAACTTATAAACAATCAGATTAAGGAACTTTTCAATCTTCCTGTTATTAATAAAGAAACTCACTCATCCTTAAGTCAACTCTTTGATAACACAAGTAGAATTTTAAAAGCTCTCAAAGCCCTAAACGAACCTGTCCAACATTGGGACTCTATCTTAGTATATTTAATAACCACAAAATTAAACTCTAGTGCTAAACATGCTTGGGAATCAAAAAAGACCAAACGTGAGAGGCCTAATCTAAAAAAAATTATTGAGTTTTCTGGAAGACAGGTGTGACATGTTTGAATCTATTGAGGAGGATAAGCCTTCCTCCACGAACCATCAACAAATTAGCTATAAAAATAAGTCTTCAAGCTCTAAATCACTTGTGACATCTAACAATAATCCTACACAATCTTATAAACTCAAATGTACAGTCTGTGATGAAGAGCACAGTGTATATAATTGCAACAAATTCCTTAAACTAAACACTAATAGTAGATACAATGAAGCGAAACGCTTAAAGCTTTGTCTGAATTGCCTGAGAAAGGGACATGGTGTGCAACAATGTCATGCCAGTAAATGTAGAAAATGTTCCAAGCCCCACAACACTCTTTTACATATCGAATCGCAATCTAGAGCAAACTCTGTAGGTCAATTGGAAAATTCATCCACAACCACGGTTGAGGAAAATGCTGTTGGAACTTCTACCTCTAAATCTCATTGCTCGATATTCCCTAACACTTGTACCTTGCTGTCAACTGCCTTAATTCTCGATAGCAGTGGTCAAACGCAAACCTGTAGAATTCTTTTAGATAATGGCTCTCAATGTAATTTCATAACCAACAAACTTTGTGATAAACTAAACCTTCCGAAAACCAAAATACAAGCCATAATTTCTGGTATTGGTGATTCTTCTTCTAAGGTGACCTCAAGGACGAAGGTCATAATTCAGTCCAGATTAAACCTTTACTCAATTAACTTAAATTGTCTTGTGGTCGAAACTATTACTGGCTTAGTACCTTGTAAAACTTTTAATAAAAATCAATTAAATGTTCCACCCAATCTAATTTTGGCTGATCCCAGCTTTGATGTTAGTGCTCCGATAGACATATTGGTTGGAGCAGATACTTTTTGGGACTTATTATGTATAGGGCAACATAAGTTAGGTCCAAATGCACCAGTCTTACAAAAGACTCAATTAGGTTGGATAGCTTCAGGTCCACTTAATCTAAATAGCAAGTCCAATGAAAAATCTCTTTGTTATTTTAATACTATTGACTTAAATCAACAGCTGGAAAAATTCTGGCAATTAGAAAGTGTAAAGGAAACTCCTCACCTTTCAAAGGAGGAAATATTTTGTGAACAGCATTTTCAAACAAATACTTGTCGGGACAATACTGGTAGGTTTGAGGTAACAATTCCTTTTAAATTAGATACTTCAAAGCTCGGAGATTCCTTTCAAATTGCAAGGAACAGATTCTACTCTATGGAAAGAAAAATGCTGAAAAACGATCCTCTTAAAACTCAATACACTGAATTCATTTCAGAATACTTAGAACTAGGTCATATGACTAAACAAGAATCTATGGACGACTATAGCGGGTTTTTCTTACCCCATCACGCTGTTTTCAAACCCTCCAGCACTAGTACAAAACTTCGTGTAGTCTTCGATGGCTCAGCTAAATCTACCTCTGGCTTATCTGTGAATGATCTCATGATGGTTGGCCCCAATATCCAAGATGATTTATTCTCTATAGCAATTCGTTTTCGAAAACACAATATTGTCATTTCAGCAGATATAGCCAAAATGTATCGGCAAATACTTGTAACCAAGGAACAACGACAATTCCAAAAAATACTCTGGCGATTTGATCCAACTGAGCCGTTGTCAATCTTTGAACTAAACACTGTAACTTATGGCTTAGCATCTAGTGCATTCTTAGCAACAAGATGTCTACGAAAAATAGCTGATGATATTAAGCAATCTAATCCCAAACTTAGCTTCATAATAGAACACGATTTCTATGTTGACGACCTTCTTTCTGGTGCAGACAGCCTAGAAGAAGTCTTAGATATCAAAAATTCTTTGATACAATTATTCAAATCTTATGGTATGGATATTCGAAAATGGAACTCTAATAATTTGATGCTTATTGGTGATACTGATCAATTAGAA